GTTTGATCATGATTGATAAGGTTTGGAAGTACTAATTTAATTCGGTTTGCAATAGATTTTGCTGCGATTTTGTAATCAGTGTTCAAAAGGGTAATAGGCTTCCAATTTTTGATGAAGTATAGTTCCGCATCTTTTTTTGGAAGTGTTCAAATATTGCTGCAGACTCCATAACACCTAATGAAAGAGCAAATTGATTTAATCAGTCTGTGAAGAAACTCGTTCACCGATGCAGGATAATATCGGCCAAGTAGCGCTGTTTACCTTCAATACTTCTCGTTTAAACGCTTCTCAGTTGTATCAATCAATATTGTTGTGTATTTATTTTGAATTGTTTTATTGTTAACAACGAAGGTGGCAACAGAAAAAGAAAGTGGTATTCCGTGCCTATCTGATAATTAAATTAGTTCTTGTTCATCAGTGATAAGAAAATTTACGTCTTGAGAAAAAAACAAATTCGTTCCTCTTCCATTTCTTCGTCAGATATTTAACTTTCTTTCATTTATCCCCCAAAAAACGCGCACATCTTCCGTGTGTTTTGGAGAAAACAAAGGTTTCATGTTACATGCCTTTGTGAGGAAAACAAAGTATTAAGTTTCAAATTTGGCGCGAAGAGCTAAATTGTGACGTTTGTTCAACGTATTATTGAATTTGAAATGAAAAAAAAAAAAAGAATCATCGTAAAACACCAGAATAAAATTTAAACGCTGTCGTGGCAAACAGTAATTGTACGTAATTTTTGGATCTTGAATGGAAGTACAACCTTGAAACATACACACCGCTAATGGGAAAAGCCCTAGCAGACTACCAAAGTAGATACAAACCGGAAGTGAACCGAGCAGGGGTGAGTTTCTATGGGACTACCGTGCCAGAGCTATCAGTTGCACTCTGCGCTATCTGAGATCGTCTCACTAGTTTACTATTGGTTATTTTGCTTACCAGCGAGACGAAGTCGCGACACTGAAATGGGTTACGATTCAAATTCCAAAACTTTACAGGGATAAATTGCGCTAATCTTTTTATTATTGCCACTTGCACAGTTGAAACAGCTTTAACTGTGTACACTAATTCACCTCTACGAGCTATTTAATATAAAAGGGAGCTTGTTATGGGTGATGAAAAATAGGTATTAACTGTTTGTTTATCATTCGAAGTAGTCGGTTGTGAGTTACAGCGCGAGATGACGTATTAATGTTTTTGAAAAGTTCATTGGTTTGAATAAAGTTAAATCGGTTTAAAATAAATACTTTGGTTTGTCTGTTTGCGCAATACTTTGAAGAACTCCGTTGAGATACACTGAATGAATGTGTTTAGTTTCTGGAAGAAATTTGCGGCTCAAAAGTCGAAATATTCGATTAAAGTTACACGCGCGCCACCGAACAGAAAACATCTTTGCGTGTCAATATTTCGCGCGTACTAAGAATTTACAGTTTAATCAGAAGTGGTGACATCTTTGTTCTTTTAGTTTCCTCAAACAATGGTTGGTTAAAGCACGATACAAAACTAAAAGCGATTTTGAGATGGCACTCCACAATTTATTGTATAAATACCACTCGTACAATTCATACGAAACCACATCCGGGACTTTTCATTATCCTCTCTAGTGAAGATGTCGATGACTTCACTGATATCATGTTTGACCCTTAAACTGTACTTAATGTTGGTGTTGTATGGTCGTAACATCTTCGGATCTTCCTCGAAAGTCTTCGGTAATCTTCGGTAATCTTCGGAAATTTTCGAGAAACGTCCGGAAAACGTTCGTGTTGCTTTCAGACAAATTTTTGAAAATCTTCGGAAATCTTCGGAAAATCGTCAAAATACGTTATCAGTATATTTAAATAATAAACAGAACAATACAAGGTTGCTTGTAGATATGGAATATCTCTTCTCGTGTTGAACTTTATATCTCACTCGTTAGCTGCTCTCACGCGTGAGATATCAAGTTGAACTCTCGAAGAGATATTCTATATCTACGCGCGCTCATGTATTACCCTCTCTATATTGGTGGCGTTGAGAAGAAATATATCAGTCGTATTGGGCTTCGCGGATTCCACTCAATACAATGGTATATTTTCTCCCAACTAGCCGCGAATTAATGTGGTATCGCATTTAGTTTATCATTAGTAAACATTTCAGGTATATTTTAGGCGTCCATGCTTTTATAAGTTTGGCAGGAACAATTTAAGGTGGTTTGATACAACTTTTTCTGGACCATACCTAGCATATTCCATCCGCGTATTGCCAACTTTCCCTTGATAAGATTGATTCAATCGTTTTATCCGTGATTGACTTAATGTATTGACAACATTACTTGTGCGCAATTTTAGCCCTTTTTCTCCTGAAAAATATTCACCATGCATTTTCCCCAATACCTTCCTGTTCTTTGTCACTCAAGGTGGAGATTTGGAATTCTTTGTAAACAGTCCTTTCGCTGGCAAGGAAAGAAGGGCCGTGTTTCAAAAACATTCCGCATATTTGCATTCATGTAGTGTGGCGAAAAGTATTGATCACAGGAGAATGTTGCACACATAAATCTGAATATTTTAGCATATATATTTTTTTATTTCGGTATCTTTTAATACAACTTTTTCGTTGGTTCGAGCGCCTACTTCACCGACAAATTTAAACGTGTTCCAGTATATCAATGCTAACGAAACTTTGGAATAAAATTGTTGACATTATCAGACATACACGATTAACGTCTTAAAAAATATATCTACTATATCTACGGGTTTAGTTTAGCTACATAAAGTAGACCCGTAGCCAGACATAAATAAATTTGACTGACAAGGAATGCGGAAGTAACAGCCATCTTTGGTTTAGTATTTCTACAATGCGAAAAGGCATGTGAAAGTGAAATTCAATGATCATGTTCTAGAACTATCGGTCTAAAAGCACAGATATTCATTTGAACTACAATGGGCAATTTGATTTGTCTTCGTGGCTTCATCTTAAATAAGGTGCCTATCTTGTAGTGTGGTGAACAGCCTTTAATTGATGGTAAATATCTGCAGTGGGAAAAACCAAATCCACATTATTCTAACATATAGTGAGAGCAATCATAAGTTCTAAAAAAAAAAAGAACGTAAAATGTTTGGGGACTTCAATATTTTTTTTTTTTTCCTGGGCTGGCTTACTGTTTACCCAAAACTTTACAATTTATGGCCATTTCATGAAAATGCCTTTTCTTGTTGTAGAAATTTACTAAAGCAAAGATGGCTAATTAAACACGATGCGTAAACTAGTACGTGTCAAATGGCCATTTTTGCAGGGGGTCCCCCGAACTTGAAGAGAATAGACTATCGTGACCTACTATTTTGCCACAATCAGCCACTCACTAAACTAAACATTTGTGCTTAGTTTGAGCGAAATCGGTGATTTGAGCTGTATCACCTTGTGCCTGGTTCTGCCTGGTTTTCTCATGGTCACGCTCTTAATGAAATTTCTTGTTTTCTGTTTGTTCTCAGTTTTATCCCAGGACTACTAGACTGAATTTTATCACTCAAGTCACTTGTGGCCTATCCATCAGTACGATAACTATTACCCCAACAATACCGGCACGTCAAAATGAAAATAAAGAATGGCCAAAGATAAGTTTCTGGCTACCGCCTGAGATTCAACTAGTAGACCAAAGTCAATGTGACACTGAGCTGAGGGGAACACAAGAAATCACACTACGAATAAAGGCAACTTGTCCAGCAGCTGGAGCCACAGAAGGTCTGAAAGCTATAATCCCGCATATAGCTAACTTGCATAGCAAAGTTTGGAACTCAAAAGTTAGCCTACCAGCAATATGGGTATGTAGACAAATAACTCTTATCGGTGATCTTCAAAAACGCTTTGATAACCTACGGTATAGTTTTTAAACTATATATATACAATTAAACTTGAACGCAATTAAACTATAGATAGATAGATAGATTATCTTTATTTAAATTCGTCAGCTAAAACTACTAATAACTGATAGAAAAAATAATAATAATAAAAAGCTGCTTTCCACGAATACCGTGCCCTATACATCGCTTTTGAGTTGGTGTTTAAACTGTCTCAGGGACTCTGTTTTCATTAAGTCACAAGGAAGACTGTTCCAAAGAATGGCGCCACTATAGCTAACGCTATTTTTATAATAGTTTGTGCGGCAATGGAACATTTACTTTATTCTCAGAATCCCCTAGATTATATGCGGTTTCTCGCCTCTCGAATTTAGAAGTTAGATATTCTGGAGCCAACCCGTGCAAAGAAACCATCGTAACTCTTTGAATTTGCTGCTGGCTTGTTAATTTTTTCCACCCGAGAAGTTTGGACAGGTGACCAACATCTACGTTATAGTTTGAGTAGGTCAAAACACGGGCTGCTCTATTTTGTAGTTTTTCGAAATTATTTCGTAAAGTTATCCCACAGATTCCCCAAACAATGTTGCAATAGTCAGTGTGGCTGTAAGAGAGCTTAATATATTAGATGTAAGGTCGCTTGAGGGACAAGGTGCCTTATTCGTTTTATGGCCCCAAAGCCGGAAGCGACTTTTTTTGTTACTTTTTCAATGTGGCCACTCCAATCAAGTTTGTCATCGATGGTCACATCGATGGTCAAGTGATTTTGCGGTAGTGACCTGGCTAACTTGAAAGTCATTAATTGCAAGTGTCGGGGATTCTGTGAGAGTACTTAGCCTCTGCCTAGATCCGAGAAGCATGAATTCGGTTTTAGTCAAATTTAGAGTTAGTTTGTTTGCTATCAGCCAATAGTGAGCAATTTCTAAATCTTGATTTAGATGGAATTGAATATTGTCTGCACTGTCACCTGCATATGTAAGATGGGTGTCATCAGCGTACATCCTCGGTTCACAATTTGATAGACAGTTTGGAAGATCGTTGATATATAATAGAAATAAAGGTGGCCCTAAAATCGTCCACTGGGCGACGCCACAACTTAATGAACAACTTTTAGAGAGTGACCCATTGATGGAGCACATTTGAGAATCGTTTAAATATGACTGAAACCATTTGTGCGCGTTTCCGTATATGCCGTAGTCTCTTAATTTCGACAAGAGGATCGCGTGGTTAACTATGTCGAAGGCTTTTTTTAGGTCTAAGAAAATAACAGTATTGATTTTGCCGCGGTCAATGTTGTACACTCAAGTGTCCGTAGCCTCAAAGAGAGCCTTGACAGTTGAGTGTATAGCACGAAGACCCGCTTGACATTTACAGATGATGTTGTGCTCTTCTAGGTAGGCGTAAAATTGATCATAAAAGATTCTCTCAAAGACCTTGGCCACAACTGAAATCAACCGGCGAAATTGGAAGATAATTGTTTAGATCGTCCCGATCGCTTTGTTTAAAAAGTGGGGTAACCTTTGCGCATTTCCAATCATCCGGAAATATACCTTGACTTATTGACTGGTTAAAAATGTCGCAGACAGGTATGCAAATGAAAATGAGATCAGCACATTCCCGAATAAGCCTAGCAGATATCTTGTCAAGGCCAGGTGCCTTTGGCTTATTTAGACGATTTATAAGTGAGAGAACTTAATTTCTACTGGTCGGTTTCTCACAGGCAAATTACAACGTAGAAACAGCTCTAGGACAAAACTGCTGCTCTCAGGAACATACTATCCGACTACTTTCTATATGTAGCGAACGAAATATTTCAACAAATTTTGAACATCCTTCAAGCAGTTAGTATAAGTATAACAGTGTCATTTAAATCTTAATCCTCTCATACAATGCATTTATAGTCGAATCTCGGTCACTGGCAGACGTGATACCTGTGTTTAACCTCATTTTTCAAACTCATTAATAATTTTCATCAAGTTAAAACAAATTATTATTCATTTTTATTATTACTAGTGTTTAACCTCATTTCTCAAATTCATTAATAAGTCATCAAGTTAAAATAAATCATTATTTATTATCATTATTATAAGATCACAACCGTAAAGGAGGTTTGGATATCCGGACTTAATTAACATAGATTTTGAAGATCTTACTTTTCCGTCTACTCCTTATAGTTTAGTTTCGATTGAGAATATATGTCAAACACTCCCGACAGTGTCTCATCGACTATCTAAACACCTCGAATTTCGTCAAAAATATTATACTGCGCGTCGCATTTTCAACTCTCTTCTCGGTGTTTGGATATCCCGATGAAACACTGTCTCTCTATATTACTTGGAAAATTACTGCGTCCGGTGTCCCTCACGGTAAAGTTTTCGTAAATTATCTAAAGTTCTATCGGAGGATAAAAACAGCTAAAGCAAGATATGTGGTACGCTGTGACCGCGGAAAAACGATAAATAATGGGCAATGCCATCCAGGAAACTATCAAATTAAAAGCCATAGAATGTCACCATTAACTCAAGTTCGTAGAGTTCGATATCGAAAATTTGACTGGATTGTAAAAATGCAACAAAAGCGACAGAATGAAGGAGGAAAGGGAGCAAAATATAAGGGTAGCCCAAAACCGAAACAATTTCGTTCAGTTTTGAACTTTTTGCCTTTTATACTTGTGTTAAATTAATTGATTTTTGGGAGAAACAGAATTGTCTGATGATGACGGCTACGTAAACGAGAAGACTCTCGATTCTGCCAGTTGACTTGCATAAAGGAGGGTACATGAACAATACCAGTAATAATTACCAATTTTTGAAAAGTGAACTGATCAACATGGCACGAGCGTAAGTCCCCGACAGGGCCCAGGATCGATCCGGAACACCGGGCGGGCGCTCTATCCACTAAGCTGCGAAAACTCATCGAGAGCAAGGTCATTTAACTGAGTTCGTATTTGACTGGCGTCCTGCATACTGCTAGGATCAGCGCTAGCACTGTCGAAGTCATCGTGAGTCTGATAAGTTAATAAAGATGGTGAATATTAAGCTCGGTAATGAAATGTGAAAAGTCAACTGATCAACATGACACGATCGAGCGTGGGACAAAGAAAAAAAAATCACTTCAGATTTAATTACTAATTGTCTGTACCTTCCGGAATATAGCTATAGAAGACTTCAGAAGAGAGTGGGCGATAATATTTTGGAAGAAGACTCTGTCTCGCTCGGTTCGCAAAAGTGAACAACGAAAGACGAATTTTCTTGCCTTTTCATATCCTTATCCCTTTAGACCAACCACAAACGTCCATATTATCTAGCTGATTAGTGAATTAAAAATAGCAACCATATTTTATTCGCCCTTGTTGGATACGATATCATCTCGCAAAGAATATACAAGCTCTAATATTAGAAAAGCAGTAGTTAGATATAATTTATATCCAGGTCTTGCTAATATATAGATAAGTGGTGTTTACACCTTAATGTTTTTTTTATATCTTGTATAACCTGTTTATTGATTTATTTTTATTTTTAATGTTTTATCTGATCGGCCTACCAAGTTTCAAAAAAAAATGTTAAACGGCAGAGGCCTTGTTTCACCGCATCTCCAAACGCCTAGAAGAGAGTTGATTATACGACGCGTAGCGGAGTATTTTTGACACACTTCTAGGTGTTTAAAATAAGAATTGTTAACGAGCTTGAGAAGTTCGGATCGCTTGTCTTGTTTATCTATTCTATCTACCTACGATCAGTAGCAAAGTTTGCAAAATAGAACTCTTTGCGATATTCTTCCCTAATTGTTCCAATGTACTTAGAGATGGTGGCGAGAGATGCTGGGACCCATTTTTATTGTTATGCAGCTGCATTGGTAAATACAATTGATGACGGGAATCAATTATTGCACAAACTTAGTGTAAAGTATAATTCAAAATAACTACGCGCTCATTGAACTTTCCCCAGGTGAATGTCTTCAAGCCTTCGGACACTATACACACATGTAGATCGTTTGGGGGTCCTCATTTTACTACACTGGATTGGAATTCAGGGTTGGTATCAAATTAAAGAGCAAAAGTTATTAGCAATAGGAACACACATGGATTATATAAAGTAATTGTATTGAATTGCAGATGACATCGAATTTAAAATTTTAGCTCCTACATTCTGTGTCCCCTAAGTATCTCCAGAAATATTCACCTATCATTAGTAATCAGACTAAAGCGATTGCAGAGTCCGCAATTGTCCACTTTAGTGGTAATCACGTGACAATCGTGACGTCAAAAACTCCAAAATGGCGTCACACATCACAAAATGTCCGCCATTTTGGATTCCCTAACTGGAATTTCAAATATATATATATAAAGTGTTAAATTTGATTTTCGTAAAACAGTGCTCAATACATCAGAGTAGAGCGAAGTATATAATGTGGGAGGAAAAAT